GGTCGCAGGGGAGGTGTCACTCGCTTGCCGGACGATTGAGGTGCGTTACGTGGACTACGAGGATCGTTTCGGCAACGATCAGTCGCCCCTGCTCTGTGCGTTCCTGAAGAAACACGGCAACCCCCAGCACCGCGAAGTCAGCGTCCAAGGCATGGACCAGAACGGCGAAGCTGCAGAGCACGAGTTCGTGCTTCACGAGCCCAAGATCCCAGGCCATAAGACTGGCGGGGACTACTATTCCTGCAAGGTGGTGTGCCAGGAGTTTGCGAGGGTCTGCGTTGCGCGACTGGTGTTCCGCCTAGAAGACCTCAAGAACCTGGCCGGCTCCAAGCTTTTCCGGCCATCGTGCTATCCCGACGACAACGCGCAGCGGATGAAGAAGTGCCGCGAGTGGTTGGGCATGCTAGACCACATGTTTCACCATCGCCTCTTTGGTACGCCACCTGGTTGTGCCTGCAATGTGCTGTCTGCTGTGTGTGTGTGTGTGTACCTTGGTGTGCTGTTAAACACCTCCTATACGCCCCGATCGCCCCTCTCACTGCTCTGCTCTCCCATCCTGGCAGGTGTGTGCTTCAAGGCGTGCGAGGGGGAGCTACCGTTGTTTCTCCACACCATGGATACCAACTACGGGAACATGAGCTTCCACAAGTCGCTCTCGCTCATGCTCCAGTCAACTGACTACGTGGGAGCGTACCCGAACCTTGTGCAGCTGTGGCAGGCCGTAGCTGTGCTCCCCCTCAGCACGGTGGAGTGCGAGCGGGGCTTCAGTCGCCAGAACCGTATCAAGACGTGGAAGCGGACCTGCCTGGGCGACGCCAAACTGGGCGATCTGATGACTGCAGCGCTCCTACCCAGTGATGGTCTGAACTGGGTGAATGTGGTAGCCGTATTCAATGCTAGCAAGAAGCGCCGTCCTGCCCAGGAGTTTTTGTATTGATTTTGCTACTCTGCTCCCTGCTAGGAGTATTCTGCTGGAACCAGACCAGGCCAGACCATCCCATATGTAGGTCCTGTTGTTGTTCTAGTTCTAGTCATATATTTTATTGTTCTTTGCACGTCATGTCAACCTAAACATTAAGCGTTGGTTAAAAAAAAAATGGTACAACTAACCGAGGTCCACAGTACTCTGACGAGCACGAGTAACAATGTAGCCAACACTGATATACAAGACTGACATGGCTGCCCCACCCTTACTGAAAGACCAGCTTTGGCAGCCTGCCCTTTCGACTAAGAGTGCTTCCAATCCTATCCACAGGCCTGGCGTGTTCCTATCATCGTATCAAGATAACCTCGTATCAGGCTCACACTGAAAATTCCCCTAAACCCAAAACCTCTCGCTAGTTTTACCAAGCAAAAACAGCATTCTTGATACGAGGTTTCCTGATACCATAGGAACACGCTCTTATTGTCTGTTCATACTATACCATTAGCCATATTAATCGACGACGTTGGGATGGTCGTGCATGTTTATGTCTTCAATATGTAACGTTCTTGAATATTTTCACGTTTGAGAGACGTCATTCAATAGTTGTTTTAGGTATTTTTTGTGTGCATTCTCTTAGAAACGCGTACCTGGGAAGATGCATTGAAAAAACATTGGATTACATTTCCAAAACGTGAAACCCAAAAAAACTACTCGTGGGGGAAAATATACAGTATTAGCGAGGGCCTCTAACCCGAAACATCGTCCTTCCACCTCCATCGCTCTCTCCGATCTCCCTCCGCTTTCATCGTCCTACCACCTCCATCTCCAATCCCATTCCATCGTCGTTCTTTCATCGTCCCTCCCCGTGAACACAATTCTCTGCTCCCCATCGATCGCTCTCGGGCCCATCGAGTCGCCTCTTCCGCCCTACATTACCCCTTAGGTTCACGGATGAACGGGTAGTCTGTTAGGGGGCCGTAAGGATACTTTTTTTTTTGTCACCTAGTTTTATTGAAGGAGATTGATTTCTCTCTGTCGCTCTTCGTCGCACATTGTCTACGAGATCCCATTGCTCCTTTTTCAGCTACGCCATTCCGGTGGCCGTCAGTCGACCTCAGACCTCGTCTCCATCCGTGTCGCCTTCCGTCACGCGCACCGCGCCACTGCACTTGCCGTCGCCGGTTCCCACGTGCCCCCCTCCATCCTCTCCCCACCTCGCGCCCTTCCCAGGAGCCGCACTACTGCCAGCCTTCGTTCTCCACTGCGCCATCCGCAGGGCATGTCGCCCATCGCCGGTTTCACTGCTGCGTTCCTCGTCGTTTGATTCATTCCGCGCGCGACGGGCCGTCATGAGGCTGCGGCGGGGCTCGCTGCGCGGCAGCGGCGCGCGCGCGGGCGGCGACACGCCGCGGTATCTGGTGAACTCGCTGGCGGTGGCGTTCGTGGTGTCGCTGCTGTTCCTCTACCGCCTGCAGCGCCAGGAGCGCCAGGAGCAGGCGCAGCAGCAGCGCGAGGAGCAGCAGCAGCAGCACCCCGCGCTCGACGTCGAGGGCGGGGGAGGGGGGAGTGGGGGGGATGTCACAAGCGGCGTTGGTGAGGTGGCGAGGGAGTTACGCTTGAGCGGCGGTGGGGCGGATGCTGGCGGAGGTGGCGGCGGGACGGAGAGCGACGCAGGAGGGGACGAGGGAGGCGGACGTGTGCGGAGTGACGGTGGTGGTGGCGCAGCTGGGGGAGGCGGTGGTGAGGGCGGTGGCGGGGGAGGGACGGCCGACGATGGCGGGGCAGACGACGAGGCGCGGGAGGTGCGTGGAAAGGAGAGTGGGGACTCGTCTGGAGGAGAAGTAGAGGCAAGTGCGGGTGGCAGCACCAAGGTGACTTCAGAGGCTAGCGATGCTGGTGGTGGCGATGGTGATGGTGGAAGGGGTGAGGGGATGGCGGATGGGAATGACGGGGAAAGTGACAAGGGCTCGAGAGAGGCCGGTGAAGACAGAGGCCCGAGCAGTGTGGCAGAGAGCAGTGAGGGCGAGAGCGAAAGCAGCGGGGATGGTGGTAAGCGTGGGAGTCTGACTGATGGTGAGGAGGAGGGCACGGGAGGCATGGGGAGCAGAGCCGATGGGGAGAGTGAGAAGGGCACGGGGATGTCTGATAAAGAAATGGGCAGTGATGCGGGGCATGCGGAGGGGCAGGGCGCTGCAGCTGAGGGTGGAGGGGCCAGTGCTGGTAGAGGGGAAGGTAAGGGCGTGGGGGGTGATAAGGAGGCAGAGGAGGAGAGCGATTCTGGATTTGGTGCTGAGAGGGGAGGGGAGGCGAAGGAGGCGGAGGAGGGGAGTGGCAGTGAGATCAGGGCAGTGAATGGGGGTGGTGATGTGGAAGCTGCAGGCGCGGAGACAGACGCCGGTGTTGCGACGGATCAAGGGAGGAGTGGCGGTGAGGGTGAGGGTGATGGTGGCAGTGTGATTGTGAGTGGCGGCAAGGCGGGCAAGAGGGAGGGCGTGGAAGCGGGTGATGAAGTGGAGGAGGGGAGGGTGAAGGCGAAGAAGAAGAAGGCTTCGGGCAAGAAGAAGAGCAAGAAGGGCAAGAAGCGGAAGAAGAAAAAGAGCAAGAAGACTAAGGTTGCTGATGAGTGAGTGGAGAGCTAGCATTGCAATGTGTATACGTGGGTTGCGTTGCAGCTTATTTATTCCCATGGTACTGGGCGTTCAGTTGTACAAGACAGCACCCTAGTCTCACGGGTGAAGGACCCCCCTGAGTCCTGTCCAGACCTGACTACAAGTCCCAAGAGCAGGGTAAAACATTCCGATTCCTTGTTTATCAGGGTGTGCTTAGCAACGGTCAAGATGTAACCTAAACTACATACATATTTTGGCAATCGCTGACGATTATAGGATGATTGGTCACATATGGTTTCAACCCTTTTTTTTAAGGCTCGTGTGTATCAGTGCCGTCATATCCACACCTTTGCAGCACTTGGTCTTAAAACGTTGAAACGAGTGCTTCGGAAACGGATGAGGGCTGTGTGAGTGTGTGATGTGCTTCACATTCTCACACTCACCAAGCTTTTCTAGATGCTGTGCGGTGACATGTAGTTGGGGGCTGAAATGCTGGTTTGGGAGGGTTGAGTTAGTGTTTCCGCTTTTGAGTTGGGGGTGGTCACCATTTTGCGATTTGCGTCGAAATTGCAAATAGCATTAGCGCGCGACTTTATTTCTCGGCGAGCTCAGTTGGACGCGACATGACAAGTCAAGCGTTTTGACGCTACTAGCGTAGGCCATGGCACACGGAACACACTAGCGTCAAAACGCTTGACGACGTGGGCGCAGGGAGATATTGGAACAAGCTCAACGGCTCTTGGGCTTGTTCTAGTGTTTCTGGCTCAGAATTCTTGCCAAGGGAATTTCCTTAGAAGCAAAGAGAGAACAAACAGAAAAGGAAACAAGGAACAACTACTCTATTCCTACGAATGCATTTTCATGTGTACAGTATTTACATTTTAGACATGCGACTCGGAATGCCGATTCGGGTGGCCAGCCCTGACATCGAGCCGCATTCCATCCCCCTTTTTACAATTGTACACCTCACAGCACACACACACACACGTGTTACATTTCTATTCCTCCAGATCTGGACTTTCGCCACTTGTCCCGCGCGGAAGTCCCCCCAAGTCAGTCAAGCACGAAACCTCTGTTTTGTCCTTCTCACGTGGGTCCCCCACGTCCTGCTCACTTCCGCCCTTGTGCTGCCCACGTTCGCAACTGCAAGCTGCTGCTGCATGACCTTGCCTCTCGTGTACTTCACGCGGGCTCCAGTGCAGCCAGCTTCACTTGTTACATTACCTCCCCTCCCTGAAGGCACCGTCCTCGGTGCCAATGAGGCAAGATAGATTCCAATGGCACGAGGAGCATGGCTGAGGTTGGAGAACGGTTCCCATGAATCTTCAGATGCTGAGGTGTTGCGCCAATGAATGAGATATTCACGGCCAACCGGGGTGTCACGGTGTGAGAGAATGGTGTCGACCTCATGCAGGTCCGAATGGGCAGAGAACATGGGTGGGCGGGGCTGGAATGGGTGAGAGGGAGTACGGTAAGGACGAAGAAGGTGAATGTGGAAAACAGGGTGTATGGTCATGTGGGGAGGGAGTTGAAGGCGGTAGCTGACCGGTGAAAGAACTTTGGTGATGGGGAATGGTCCAACGAATCTGGGTGTGAGCTTGCGAGAAGTTCCAGCATTCAGCAGGGGCAGGTTAGCCGTTGAAAGCAACACCAAATCACCAACTCTGAAAGTGGTGTGACGCCTATGCTGATTGGCATAGCAAACTTGGCGCTCTTGTGCAAGCTGAAGCTTCCTTCGGGCAAGTTGAAGAATGCGGTGATGAGAAGAGATGAAATATGCTGCTGTGGGGTTAGAGGAATGAAGAGAGTGAGGGAGGGATGTGAATGAGCGTGGTAGCTGTCCAGTAGCCAACAGAAATGGTGGCTCTCCCGTGGCAATGTTGGGGCTGCTGTTGTAGGCGAATTCTACCGCTGCCAAGTGCTGATCCCAGTCAGTTTGTATGGCATTCACACACGAGCGTAGCGCATCCTCCAGGGTCCTGTTCATGCGCTCTGTCTGACCGTCAGTTTCAGGGTGGTAAGCTGTAGAGAGTCGAATCTGTGTGTCCAGCAGTTGAAACAGTGCAGTCCAGAAGTTGCTGAGGAACCGTGTGTCTCTGTCACTGATTATGGCTGAGGGTAGTCCGTGTAGCCTCACCACGTGTGTGAAAAACAGCTTGGCAGTTTCAGCAGCAGTCACTGTGCCAGTTGTAGGGATGAAGTGAGCCATCTTGGACAGCTTGTCAATCACCACCAGAATGCTGTCAAAGCCTGTAGGAGTGCGGGGTAGGTCTGTGATAAAATCCAGAGAAACACAAGTCCAGGGGGTTGTGGGTATCTCCAATGGCTGCAGCAGACCAGCCGGTGCAGTGGTGCGAGCCTTGTTGACCTGACAGGTAGGGCATGATGAAACATACTCTGCTACACTCCGGGACAGTCCAGGCCAGTAGTAGTCACGGGAAATGGCAGCATACGTCTTGTCACTGCCGAAGTGTGACTGGTTGTCATGGTACTCATGTAGTAGCAGCTGGCGAAGCATGGAGTCATCAGGTACACAAACATCACCAGAATCTGCACGGGTCCAAAAAGGGTTGCTGAAAAGAAAGGATGGGTCATGGGGGACTTTCTGTTGGTACAGCTAATCACGGTTGTAACCACGGCTGAAACGAGTGATGAAGTTGTGGTCCCATGTATCCCCTCCCATGACATTCAGCTCCTCTGCTGCTGGCCGTGACAGAACATCCGCCGGATTGAAGCGCCCTGGTTTGTACAAAATCTGAAGGTTGGGAACGTACTGCTCCAAAAACTGAACCCACCGCGCCTGCCGTGGTGTGATCTGTGATTGTGTTTTCAGGTACTCCAGTGTTCGGTGATCAGTGAAGACTGTGACAGGCTGCATCTCCACATAACAGTGCCACTTCTTCAGTGCGTGCACCACAGCAAGTGCCTCTCTCTCTCGTGAATGGGGTATGTGCGCTCTGCAGCAGTCAGCTTCCTTGACTCAAAAGCTATTGGTTGCAGCCCAGCTTCCTGCTCCTGGCAGAGAATTGCTCCAAGGGCAACGTCTGATGCATCACACCATATGAAGCACGGGAGCTCTGAATTCGGTACTGCTAGGGCAGGGGGTGAGGTCAGAGAGGTTTTGAGCTGCTCAAAAGCTTGCTGCTGCAAAGGTCCCCAACTGAATGATGAGTCCTTCCGTAAGAGATCGGTCAGAGGTGCTGCCACTGCTTCAAATCCCTTCACAAACCGTCGGTAGTAGTTAGCTGACCCCAAGAACGCCTGCACCTCCTTCACTGTACTCGGCTGCTTCCACTGCTTCAAGACTGCTACCTTACTGTTGTCTACCTCCAGCTTCCCGTGTGCAAATTCACACTTTGAACGCTTGGCATACAATCTGTGCTCACTGAGTCGTGCAAGTACCAGCTCAAGGTGCTTGAGGTGTTCCTCACGAGTGCGACTGTAAACCAGCAAGTCATCAATGAAAACTACCAGAAACTTGTCAATGAAATCACTGAAAATGCTCTGCAGCATGCCTCGGAAGGTGGCTGGAGCGTTGGTGAGACCAAAGGGCAACACTTGAAACTCATTGTGACCGTACCGTGTTCGGAATGCTGTTTTTGGAATGTCCTCACTCTGAATCCGCACCTGATGATACCCCGAACGCAGATCCAGCTTCGAGAAGTACCGTGCCTCACCAACTTGCTCGAACAGCTCATCTATCCGTGGCAGTGGGTATCGGTTCTTCACGGTTATCTTGTTCAGCCCACGGTAATCTACACACATCCGCAGAGAACCGTCCTTCTTCCGCACGAACAACACCGGAGAAGCGTATGGAGAGGAACTAGGCTGAATGAAATCCCTAGCTAACAGGTCCTCTAACTGCTTCTTCAGCTCCTTCAGCTCCACTGCATTCATTTTGTAGGTTGGTCGAACAGGTGGGGTAGATCCAGGAATCAGCTCTATCCTGTGATCTGCAGCTCGCTTAGGAGGAAGTCCAGCCAGTAAGTACTCCGGAAACACCCCTGAAAAAAATTCCAGCAGCTTCTCTACACCCCGTGTCAACTCCTCATCCTCATGTGATGCTGAAACAGTTGGTGTTACTGCGTCAGGTGATGTAGGCTGGACTTCTGTGATGAGACCTAGAAAAACTGCTTCCTCCCCCCGAATGGCCTTACCAAACTGCTTCGCACTAATCAGCTGCAAGGTCATCCCCTCCTGCTGCTGCACCACTGGTAGGCGAACAAACCTCCCCCCAAACAGCACCTTCACCTCCCTGGTTCTCCAATCCACCTGAGGGTTCACTGCTGCCAACCAGTTCCTGCCCAAGATGATGTCTTGACCGTCAAGCCAGATCTGTTGGAAAGGAAATTTTCCATGAAACTCCCCTATGTTGCAGTTGACCGGGTACAACTCAGGTCCACAGCTCCTCACTACACCATCTGCCATGCGCACCGTACTCTCCGCTGTACCGTTCTGCACAGGTAGCTTCAGTTCATGCACCAACCGTGAAGAGATGAAATTGGATGAAGCACCACTATCCAGCAACATCTTTACCTCCTTACCACGAATCTGCCCCGAAGTACTATGGCTCCTTCCGACTCCTCATCACCAGCAACTCGCCCCGAAGCTACTGGTGAGGCTTGTTTCCTGGTTGCCTTGGCTTGGTAGGGCAGTTGATTGCTTTGTGGCCGCGTTTCCCACACTTGAAACAATTTCCAGCAAAGCCCTTCCGCTTCTCCTTGTTCTTGTCAATCGTATCCAGCTCCATAGGTGTAGGATCTGTACCACCACGCTGCTCCCCATGTATAGGCTGGAACATGTTCGGACTGAACCGCATCCCACAGTTAAAACGGTTACGACGGTTACCGAAGTGAATCTCATCGTATCGTTCAGCGACACATGCCATCTCCTCAAGCGAACTACAGCCTTGCACCTCCACTTCCATCCTAACGTCATCCTTCAACCCGCGCTTAAACTTGTCTAGAGCCTCAGCCGTTGAAAGGTCTGAAATTTCGGTGGAGATGTCACAAAATTCAGCGATGTAATCTGCTACAGAGGTACGCTGCCGCAGATTTGCAAGTCGATCACGCGCCTTTGCCATAGCGTTGATGGGTTCATATGACGCAACAAGTGCTTCCTTGAATTGCTGCCAGGTCTGGATGGCGGGTCGCACCGATTGCCACCATGCAACCGCAGAGTCCCTGAGTAGGGTTCTAGCGAATGGTGCCCACTCTTCACCAGCCACATGGCTCAAGCGTAGATATTCTTCCACAAGGAAGAGCCATCGTCGAACCACCGGTTGTCCTTTCCCTGGAACAAACGTGTCTGGCATCGATGCTCTCACATGGGAAATAGATCCCACTACGCTTCCTGGAGCTGTAGCTACTCCTTGTTGTGCAGCTGCGTTCTGCAGGGCAGCCTGCACCTCCTTAGCTACTAACTCTCGAACCACGGCATCACGCTCTGAATCGGCCATGGTGCAAAAATAACCCGGCAGCAACTCACGATGAAAAAACGGGCTCGGATACCAAGTGGAACAAGCTCAATGGCTATTGGGCTTGTTCTAGTGTTTCTGGCTCAGAATTCTTGCCAAGGGAATTTCCTTAAAAGCAAAGAGAGAACAAAAAGAAAAGGAAACAAGGAACAACTACTCTATTCCTACGAATGCATTTTTATATATACAGTATTTACATTTTAGACATGCGACTCGGAATGCCGATTCGGGTGGCCAGCCCCGACATCGAGCCGCATTCCATCTCCCTTTTCACAATTGTACAACTCACAGCACACACACACGTGTTACATTTCTATTCCTCCAGATCTGGACTTTCGCCACCTGTTCCACGCGGAAGTCCCCCCAAGTCAGTCAAGGCACGAAACCTCTGTTTTGTCCTTCTCACGTGGGTCCCCCACGTCCTGCTCACTTCCGCCCTTGTGCTGCCCACGTTCGCAACTGCACGCTGCTGCTGCATGACCTTGCCTCTTGTGTACTTCACGCGGGCTCCAGTGCAGCCAGATTCACTTGTTACAGATATGCACCACTGTGGTATGAAAGCCGCGGTGCAACATTTCTTAGGATCGCGCAGCTCCACTCAGCGATTCGCCCCCACACGACGAAGTTGTGCTCCAGGCAGCGCCTCTGGCCGCCATGAAGTTCGCCGCTGCAGCCGCCGCGCTGCTGCTCGTCTTGTTTGCCGCGGCTTCTGCCAAGAGAGCCGCACTGCGCAGCCCGCTCGCCCAGGTGAGCCTTTACTACAGCCGCTATATAGTAGTAGTAAGGGATGTCAGAAACTATGATGAGTGAGCATCGTTTGCTGCTTTGTTGTAAGGGATGTCGTTTGTCTGCTGCATATCATGTCATGTCAGGCATGATCATGCACAGACATCATCTCTGTCTCGCCGCAGGTCTCCTCATCATTTCCCCCCCTTGCTCGCCCATGCCTTGCAGGCTCTGTCCTCCAACGGCGGCGTCTCGGCGGGGCAGGAAGACGCGCAGCGGGAGATGGTGCAGGTGGCAGCGCCAGCGGCAGCATGGGGTTTGAAGAGGCTGGTGGTGGTGCTGAGCGACATCCACATCGGCGACGGCAGCCCCACGCAGAACTACAAGTCGCACGTGCACGAGGGGCACCTGCTGGCAATCATGGACGACGTGGTGGCGCGCAACGAGCCCATCGCGGAGGTGGTGCTGGCGGGCGACATCTTCGAGTTCTGGTACTACCCCTTCCATGCCCAGCCCCCCTCCCTCGCCACCATCCTCGCTGCCAACCCCAACCTCTTCGGTCCCACGAGCGGCTTCTCGTGCGTGCTGGACGCGCCGGGGGGGTGCGTCACCTTCATCCCGTGTAACCACGACATGCACCTCACCGCCGCTGACGTGGCGCAGATCAGGTCCCCGGGGGGACACTACGTGAAGTTCGCTGCGCGGAGCTACAACCCGGGCGGCGACACGTGTGTGCTCATCGCGCACGGGCATGAGGCGGCCATCTTCAACGCGCCGGACAAGAGCAGCAAGTGGGCACCACTGCCCCCGCGGCACTTCGTGTCGTGGGTCATCTCCACATACTAGGCAGCCAACCTGCCGCCCAACACCACAGCGGGCGACCTGCCGAATCTGGGGACCCCCAGCAGCAGCAAGGCGAGCAGCTACTTGCTGCCCATCCTGCTCGGCATCCAGGCGGGCAACTACTCTGTCGCCCCTCAGGTGCTCGATGCTTACGCGCGCTTTTATGGAGCCAATCAGAGCGCAGAGATTATCATGTTGGATAGGACAACCACGACAATCACGGAGGCCAAGCAAGAGTACGCTTTGCTCTTCCAGAAGTGGATCGCGGAGAACGGGGGCGGCGCTGGTGGCGTGCAGGTGGCGCTGAAGGTGCTGTGGGCGGACATTGACTCGACCTACATGGGGTGGTTCGCTACTAAGCAAGCGCTGGAGTCGGGGGCGAGCCTGGTTGCGTACGGGCACACACACGTGCCGGTGCGCGGGCTGGTGAACCCCGTGCTGGCGAACTACATCAACCACGGGTTCGAGTGCGCGGGCGCCCCCGACCTGGTGAGCGGCAGCAAGGTGTTCAGCTTCCTGACCATCGATCGACATGCCCACGCTGCAGGGCAGCCTCAAGAAGGTGCTGCGCAGCGGCGCCACGTACAGCATCGAGGGCGACGCGGGTGCCAAGGCGCAGGACGTGGTGGAGGGCGCCACGCAGGACTGCTCATCGTATGCCGTCATTGATAACTCCACCAGCACCCTCGACCTCACCCTCACCGTCAGCACGGCCACCCAGGGCCGCTTCGTGTTGCTGCCCACCAGCATCAAGGCTGGCACCCGGGCCGCTGTGTGGGTGCAGGACTTTCCAGCGCCGCCCATCACGGCGGGCGTGGCGGCATCAGAGGCGTGGCTAACGTACATAGCCAAGAAGACCGCCAAGGCAAGGGCGGGTGAGTACAAGAAGACGTGGAAGTTTGCCTTTGCGTGCCCCACGTCGCGCATGAACTCTGCTTCTGGCGGCTCCAGCCTCGTTGCCAAGTCGGGCTTCAACCCGTGGCAAGCAACGGTGCCCCAGTACAGATATCCCTTGTATGTGCTGTACACTATCTGAGCAAGTCGGTGCTCGCCCACCAGTGTGCAATGCTCGTCCATGTTTGATTTAGAATCACCTGACAAACCTTGCCTCTTGTTGTCCCCCGCAGAGCTTGCACATTGTTGTCCCCTGCTGAGCTTGCCCATTCTCATATTGTTGTCCAGTACCAAACCACACTGTGATAGTAGAAGTGGTTTGGTACTGGACATATAGCTGAGCTGACCAACGCACGGGGCTGCACTGCTCTGCCCCGCCACGGACCGATTGCTGCAGATTTCGCAAAAATGTCAGAGCCATGCCTCCCAATAGCGGATTCATTTGGCTTCATGTAGCCCTTGCAGATGCTGTAAATACTCGCCACAGCGGTAAGGCTCACGACATGCCTCTGCACGGACAACGATGGCAGCAGAACCGGTGCAGCGGTTAGTATAACACGGGCTTGTAGATTGTGCCTGGAAACGTGCCTCTGATCTGATGACTTGGGATGGCCAAGCATGGTTGAACAGTACTATGCGCAAAAAAGAGCGTCCACATCACATCCATAACTGACCGGTATAACCTGTCCCTTCCTTGCCTCTTACGAGGCCCCTCTTCTCCCTCAAATTCTCATTGTGTGGTAACGTTTCCTGCTCATCCCCCCCTCCACCTGTACCTCTTCAGGTCACCCCTTCCTTAAAACCCTTTAATTTCTCCTCAAACCCCCTCAGTGCGAACATGTAACACTGTTGCCCCTTTCACAGTAAGCCCACCCCCTCTGCAATTAAAACCAAACATCCGCCTTGTCTCCTCCTCCCCTCTCCCTCTTCTCCCTTTCTTTCCCACCTTCCCTTCCCCTACCTCTGCCATCAGATCACGGCCATCCAGTTTGTGGTGAACCAGCTGAAGGCCAATCCGGACCGTTGATTCATTCAAGTGGAGAAGGTGATGTGGAAGAATGTGACTGGGTAGCACGTAACCTCTTCGTCTGGCATAATGGTTGAGAAGAACACGTGAGCAAAGGTGAAGTCTGGAAGTAGCATGGTTTCAAAATGTTTCTAGCCCATCCAATCCCTACCCATGGCCTGACCCGCTACACTGAGGTCCCTTTGTTTCTTCACGATATATTCTTCTCTAAACTGCACTCCAGCAGACCCAGCACCACGAATCTTGAAGTCACATACTAATGCAGCCTCGCACCCATGCGCAGTTGCTATGGTGGTATCCAATGTGCACTCCTATAGTCATGCCCACTGCCACACTGCTGCACTCTCCTCCCATCATTCCAATGCCCTCTCCTCCCATCATTCCAATGCGAGCTGGTGACACTGCTATGGTGCTGCCGCTGTGAGCCACACTAAGGGTACATTCCTGCGACATGTCTTCGGTTTAGGCGTCACAAAAGCAGGGTACCACTATGCACCACATTACACCCAAGTATACAACGTTCTAACCGCACTGTATCTGTTTTTTTGAGATGCGAGGCTTTTGTGACGCGTTCCAGGAATGTACCCTAAGTGGCAGCGCGGTAGTTGTGTGACTGCATCGTTCTCTTTTCTCCGCCTCTCAACTCAGTGAGGTCCGATGGTGCTGTGGAATGCTTCGAATCTGCCCCATGCCATCTAGGTGTCCAAGCCGGTTCACTTAACATTGAGTTGTGTGCGACTCAAGGATTTAGTGAGTTGCCACGCGTGCCTACAATGTGCCCATGTCCACCAATCCCCAGTACCTCACCACCTCAACTCAACTCCATCACCATGCCTTGGCCACAAGGCAACCCCATGCCCATATGACCACCACATACCCCATACCCATCTGACCACCCCATACCTCGTACCCATATGAAGACCACATGGTCCATACCCATATGACCATCTCATACCCCATACCCATATTGTTAGGGTTGGTTCGCCCAACCACGCAACCTATGGCGAAAGTCTCTACGACGGCGGAATGACGGCGAAATGGAAGCGCGTGGATGATTCTAGGTGAAACGGTGGAAATCGGCCTACGGCGTGAGAAGGGAGAGAGAAATCGAGAAGGAATGTGTGAGAAGGTGGAAGAAGCATCGAGATTGAAGTTGACTAGGGGAAATTGTGGTTCGAGCTCGAGGCGTGTTCGAGAAGGTTCCAGATTCAGTCTTGAGGAGTGTTCACCGAATTCGGTTCGGTTGCGTGTGCGACTCGGGGTGAAACGAGGCGCACGCGGTTACTTGGGAAACAAGGGAAGTTACGAATCGCATTTTGTATTATGAGTTGTAAAAGAGAGTGCGCAGGTAAACGAATAACGAAGGTGTGACTGACTCAACTGCGAATACAATGAATGCACAGACTAATGTAGGACTACTCTAGCTAGGAGGAAACCTTGGACGAGCGAGGTTGGGTGCAGGTTTGGCGATGGGAAAGCCGAAGGCGACGTGAGTAGCCTCGGCAGCGTTGAAATCGGCCGAACGTGCGAACTCCAAAAATCGGGTTGTACGCGAAGCAGTCAACCCCGATAAGGAATTCGGGAAAATTCCTTACACCACTCCCCCCTTTAAGAAAGGTAGTCAATGGCCGAAACACGCCGTCGCGCCAGATAATCACCAACAAGTGTCGAGGCGTCCATTGAAGCGGATGGCACCCACGTGTCGTCCTCACTGGTGCGGGCGGTCCAGCGAATTAAGAAATCCACGTGGCGTCCAGCGACGTCAAGGCGGATTCGATGAGCGAGAATCTTGGAAGGGTCAAGTGTTGGCTCCGGGACGGGGCAAGCTGTCGGGGCCGCTTGCTGACGTGCGATGTCGGTCGTGGTAGCCACGAACTTCCGTAGAAGGCTGATGTGGAACGCGTCATGGATACGCCAATCGTCGGGTAGCAACAGCTTCGCGGTGACAGGTGTCACCATCTTGAGGATTTTGAACGGTCCGCAAAATCGTGGCCGAAGTTTCGCAGGGCCGGGCAGGTTCAGGTTTTTCGTGTCGAGGAGGACTAATTGCCCTGTAGTCAAGACGAGTTCCCGGCGAAGAAGGTTGGTGTATTTGCGGGAAGTAATATTCGCTTTGCGAATTGCGTTGGCGGCTTTTTCGCGGACTTCCTGGAGTTCCGTCACGAAAGTCTGGGAACGCGGGACCGGATTGTCGAGTGTAGTTGTCGTCGGAACCGCCGGGTCCATCCCATAATTCAGGAAGAATGGGGAGTGATTAGTCGTGCTGGATGGTGCGTTGTTGAAAGCGAATTCCAGCATTGCGAGCGAGTCTTTCCAGTGGGCAGGATCGGGGCAGTTTGTCCTGATTAACTGCTCCATGGTCTGGTTGGTCCGCTCTGTTTGACCGTCGGTATGCGGGTGGTAAGCCGATGAGAACTGTAGCTTCGTGCCGTATTGTGCCCATGTCTCCTTCCAGAATTTGGATGTGAATTTTGGGTCGCGGTCGCTGATGATCGCTGAAGGGATGCCGTGCAGTCGCACGACCGTCGATATGAAAAGTCGCGCAGTTTCTTCGGCTCTGATTGTCGTTTGGCATGGTGCAAAGTGCGCCATTTTCGTGAAGCGGTCGACGACGAAGACGTCTAGACTACGCTGCCACTCTCGTTGCTGAGTCTGAGTCTGTCTGTCCTTCGTCCGTCGGGGGTGAGTGTGCTCTTAGCACGGACATCCTTGAGGACAGGCAGGAGGAGTTCCAGTGCTTTGGTGCTGCTTTGCCCCATCTCGTGTCCACGCTGATTGCCCCTGAGGGAGACCCGGATGCAGCAGACATCCCGACTCCTCCATCGTATGCTGAGGCGATCGAGGGTCCCTACTCCTCTCAGTGGCAGTCAGCCATGGACGCAGAGATGGCTTCCTGGAAGTCCACAGGCACCTACGTCGACGAGGTTCCCCCACCTGGGGCGAACATCGTCAGTGGCATGTGGATTTTCAGGGTGAAGCGGCCGCCGGGTTCTCCGCCTATCTTCAAGGCGCGTTACGTGGCTCAAGGCTTCAGTCAGCAGCAGGGAGTTGACTACTTTCAGACCTTCTCTCCCACCCCGAAGATGACCACTCTTCGGGTGCTGCTGCACATAGCCGCTCAGCGCAACTACGAGCTTCACTCTCTTGACTTCAACACAGCTTTCTTACAGGGCAGCCTGCACGAGGAGATCTGGCTGCGCCGTCCACCTGGCTTTACTGGGTCGTTTCCTCCTGGTACCCAGTGGATCCTCCGGCGGCCAGTCTACGGTCTCCGCCAGGCGCCCCGTGAGTGGCACGACACACTGAGGACTACACTTGCGGCTCTTGGGTTTGCTGCTTCTACAGCCGACCCGTTGCTGTTTCTGCGCACTAACACCTCTTTGCCGCCGTTCTACATCCTCGTGTACGTCGACGACTTGGTCTTTGCCACTGCTGACACTGCTGGACTCGCCCACGTAAAGTCCGAGCTATAGAAGAGACACACGTGCACAGACCTGGGTGAACTGCGTAGCTACCTTGGCTTGCTGATCACCCGGGACAGAGCACAGCACACCATTACCCTGACTCAGTCACACATGGTGCAGCAGGTCCTTCAGCGCTTCGGCTTCACGTACTCCTCGCCTCAGGCCACTCCTCTGTCTACTCGCCACTCGCTCTCAGCTCTGCCTTCGGATGAGTCCGTAGAGCCGAGTGGTCCATACCCAGAGCTTGTTGGCTGCCTCATGTACCTAATGACCTACATACGACCTGACCTTGCATACCCTCTTAGCATCTTGGCACGCTATGTTGCTCTTGAGAGACACCGACCAGAGCACATGGCTGCAGCAAAGAGGGTGTTGCGCTACGTGTGCAGTACGTCGGGCATGGGGCTAGTGCTTGGAGGGCGACGTCGAGTGGTCCTCACAGGTCACGCTGACGCTTCTTGGGCTGATGACCAGACTCTGCAGCGGTCGTCACAGGGTTACACCTTCAGCCTTGGCTCCGGCTCTGTTTCATCGCGGTCTACCCGCTCGTCTTCTGTTCTCAGCTCCAGCTGTGAGGCTGGGATCTACGCAGGGGCCATGGCTGCACAGAAGCTACGCTGGCTCACCTCCTTGCTGACTGACGTAGGAGAGCCGCCTCGTTCTCCTCCAATTCTGTACGTAGACAACAAGGCCATGCTGGCCTTGTGTTGGGAGCACAGACTGGAGCACAGAATGAAGCACATTGCTCTCCGCTACTTCCTTGCTCGTGAGCTGCAGCAGTGTGGTCAGCTCCGCCTCACCTACGTGGCCTCTGAGGCCAACACTGCTGATATCTTCACCAAGGCCCTTCCGCCTTGTGATCATCAGCGCTTTTGTACTTTGCTAGGTCTTGTGCCTACCTGGCCTTACTTGCTCACCTCTTGATCTTGTTTGTACTGTACTCTTTCTATACCAGCACTTGCTTGTTTACCTTTATATATATGATCTTGCATGTGAACTGGCCTTGTGGCCTTGCTCTTGTGCTCGGACTGTGTGGTGACTTTGTGATCCACCCTGAGCTTGCTTTGCTTTGCTTGACTGGTCTTGTGACCACTTGTTCTCCCCCACTTTGCCTATGGGGGTGTGTCAGAACATTATAGCTTATACATCTATGTAGGCTGTAGTGGGGTAGCCCATAAGGGGTACAACCCAATTAGGGTTAGTACTTGAACCCACCTGTTTCATAGTTCATTCATTCTCGTTTCTCATCACTCATACCATTCCATGCACACACGCAGGCACGCACACGGACAACAAGCCGAGTGCAAACCGTAGAGTTGCACCAACAGATTCAGCCACGCATGATTCAACTACGCATGATTCAGCCAGGCATGATTCAGCCAGGCATGATTCAGTCAAGCGGTGTTCAGCCAGGCATGGTTCAAACAGGCATGATTCAGCCTGGCATGATTCAGCCAGGCATGATTCAGCTTGGCATGATTCAGCCAGAAATGATTCAGCCAGGCATGGTTCAGCCAGACATGATTCAGCCTGGCA